GAACCCCCCAAAAGAAAACAAAACAAAACACGTAACAAAAGAAACACAAAGTAAAGGACTTCCAAAAAATTTCCTGACTTATCTAAAAGAAATTATTCTATCTTGAAAGTAAGTTGTGAAAAATATTCTATACATCTTGCATTTAGTACGTCTCCACTCTGACAGATCAGGTGACCCTCCTCATCATCCTCTACACTCCTGGATCTTTTCCTTCGGTGACTCCTCTGGTAACGGCAAGTGTGCGGCACCAACATCATCCAGCCAATCAATATACCCGAGTGAATTCAGGGCAGAATACGAAATTCATTCAGCAGGGAGATATTCAGGCATTCAGATACGCGCCAGGCCACAAACGGTTGGCAGGAACAATTTCAAATTCCCCAGAATTTCACAGGGCACATAGTTTAGGTTACAGGAAAAAAACATGGCAAGGAACAGATTTTCAGATAAGGTACTTCAAGTGGCAAGGTAACAACAAATAATATATATATGCTTTTAAAATATGGTTCACTAGAAGAATTATTTTATTTAGTATTTTAAAATTGCAATAAATATTCTTCAGTTTAATGCTGTCATACATCAAGTGTTGGCATGTACTGACCTATAAAGTAATCTTTGGGTAAATAATCTCAACAAGCGCATATTACAAGTGCATATACAAGTGGAGGTGCAATTTTGCATATTACACCTAATTAGGGCAATAAAAATTCATCACAAAACCTCTAATATTTCTAATTGCTCTAAGCAGTCCTAATTTCTATTCATCCAGTAATTATAATTCAATAGAGGTTCAGCGTCTACTTTGACAGATGCACATCAGATGATAAGCCATGGGAAAAAAACAATGTAGATCAAGTCTATCAATTATTCCATTAATAAAGAGGCAAATCTTATCCTTGAATATCAATTTGCCTAATGAGGCAGATCTGCGTAAAGGCAGTTATTTCAATATCACCAATGAAACCTAAGAGGTCTTAGAATAGCAAAGAGTAGTGTTTTCTCTTCACCTCCTTATAGGAAAACATAATGTAACACTAGTTCAGTATATAATGTAATCAGATATTCTAAAAGTAAAATGTTATACAAGATAACAGAAATCATCATTGAAAAATAGGTCTTCAGTTGCTACAAAGTATTCCCATTTTGGAACACATCTAGTAGAAAAAAAACCCCAACTTTGCTAGAATGTATCCTCATTCATTTGTGATTTAAAAGAATACCCAGATCTGTGTTCCAGGTGTTTTAAATTATACATACCGTGTCTGTATGATATGATTTATTATCAGCCGTGCATTTTCTTTTGTAACTGCTTCTGCCACTCTGACCAGATGACTTGCTACTATGGTTGTGATAGTCATTCTCATGGACCCTGCAATGGTGCCTGGTTTCAGACAACTGACTAAAGTTGCTTCTGTATTCTTCAACATAGCAGCGTTCATGATCATCACTTCTTTCCTGGAAGGAGCTGGTATCTTTATAAATGCTAGAGTGGGAAAAATTCATAAAACATCTTGTAATGAAAAACTGCACATTGTAGATACTTCCAATTTTAAGAACACACACAATGGATTATTAAACATGAGGTCATTTTAATACTAAAAACCAGCATTTCAGATATAGGAAATCAAGAATTGTTCTTGTATTTTAGATTCTAACTCCCATAAAATGTTACCATAAATCACTTGATAAAATCAGACGTTGAGAACTGAGAAAAAAACTTACCTATCATACATTGGAGTGTGATCATATTTGCAGCGTTTGTATTCATATGTGCTGTTTGATTGTCTTTTTCTCTTATGCTGGTTTTGGGAATCCCCACATTGTTTTTCATCACAGTCACCATATTGACTTTGTCTAGAATATCTCATCTGAAATAGATTAAGTACATATAATATATATTATCATATTTATCAATATGATTTAGACAATTTTTTTGGGATAATTTCCAATTAATCATCCCTATTTTTCTTAGAAATTAAAAAACTCATATGATCTTCCTTCTCAGTTAACAAAATATTGAACTCAGCAAAATACATAATGAGAAAAACCTTTATTTCCATATCAGTCTCTGATTCTTAGCACTCATAAAGCAGAATACGTAAAAAACCAGATAGAAAAGCTCTTTCAAAAGGTCCAAATAGCAAATGAAATATAACATGCATGCTTGAGAAAAATAAAATATATACTTGTGTATATCGTATATAAAAGTATATATGTATATACTTTTAAACACTGTGTTGCCTACTAGTTAATACCAGTTCCAATTAATATTACCCATGTTATCTGCTTTTGATATATTTGATAATCACTGTAATACAAGTAGTCAGTCCTTGACTTATGACATTGAGCTCAAAATTTCTGTTGTTAAGTGAGACATTTCTTAAGTGACTTTCCCCATTTTATGACCTTTCTTGCTACAATTGTTAAGTGAATCACCACGGTTGATAAGTTTGTCACATGGTTAAGTGAATCTAGCTTCCCCATTGATTTTGCTTGTCAGAAGGGCACAAAAGGGGATCACGTGGCCTTGGGACATAGCAATGATCATAACTATGAACCAATTGCCAAACATCTGAATTTTGATCACATGACCATGGGGATCCTGCAAAGGTTGTAACTGCGGAAAATGGTCATAAGACATTTCTCAGTGCCAGTGTAACTTTGAACAGTCACTAAGAGAAATGTTGCAAGTCAAGAACTACCTGTTTACATAACACTTGAAAATTATATGGGTGTGATCAGTGTTACCAAAATCAGACTTAAGAATTTCAGTGTCTTCTTGGTACAAGGGATTACAATTATCACAATCACAGATGTACCAATAGGAGTTCTAGTCCAATAGTTCTAAGAAACCTGGCTGAAGAAGATAGGGCCATAATGTAATTAATAAAAGAAATGACCAGTACGCTCCCACAGAGAGGGATTCCTCAGGGTGCTGTCAGCCAGGCAATGTCGGCTGGCGACCCCCCAGGGGGAGGGCCTTCTCTGTGGCAGCTCCTGCCCTCTGGAATGATTTGCCCCCGGAGATAAGAAGGATATCGGATCTCCGGCCGTGCCCTGAAAGCTTTTTTTCCCATCAAGCAGGGCTGGCGTGAACCCCCTCGCCTTTTTTAGTTTTATAGCTTTTTAGCTTTCAATCTGTCAATGGGTTTTAATTCGAATTGTTTTAAATTTGGGCCAAAGTATGTAATTCTTTTAATAATTTTAAATTTTGTATTGGTATGTGTTTTAATTCTGGCTGTGCACCGCCCTGAGTCCACTAGGAGAAGGGCGGTATACAAATTGAATAAAATAAAATAAAATAAATAAATAAATAAATAAGTACCAAACTTGAAAGAAGCAATTTTGCAGATTCTAAAATACTAAACACATGGACTGGATTGAAAATTTCCATGAACTCCCTAATCAAGCTCAACATAAAAAGCAAAAGTTGTGAATACATTTGTCAAAAGTATCTCTCAATATCTTGTTGTATACAAAAAATAACAATATAAATGTAAAAACACCATCTTCAATGTGGACAACAATAAAACCACCATGTTTTTCGACACTGGCTTGTGAACTCCAGTCTATTAAGTTCATTAATGATTTAGTATCTGGTAAAACCCAGAAAATGAATAGGTCAAACATGTCATGTGAAGAATCACTTTAAAAAAATTGTCTAATATGTGGAATCTAATTCTACAGAGATAAGATTTCACTGATATCAACAGAAAAATTCTCTTTAAGAAACAACACTCAATAATAGTTACTATTCTCAAAAAGGCCATATCTCCAAAATCACCCAGCTATATTGTTAAAGAACAGCTTGGCTGAATATACATTTCACCCTCATAAGCCAGTCCACCCCTTAAAATCAGTCTGTCAGAACGGAAAGAAATATTGGTAATAAATTTGGCCCTGGCAGTAAAAACTCTACACTCCCATCTCTTTAGCAGGCTCCATCTCTTCCTCTTTCAGGCGGAAAATCTTTTACTAACAGCCATTTTTCCCTGTAATTTCAACTGCACTTTAGTTTTGATGCTATTCTTAGCCGCTTGCGCTTTGGTAACAATTTTAGTGTCTATTTCCATGTCATCTCTTCTCTTATTACGTTGTATATAAAAATAAAAAACCCAAACTCAAAGCTTTCTTCTTCCACATTTCCTGATCTCTTACCTTTAACTGTCACCCCTCCCTCATAAAACTATCAGCCGCCGAATCTTCAAGAACGACAGCAAAATCGAAGATATTCTGATTAAAATCGTTTTAGTAATTCCTACTCGTTCATTACCTCATCCTCAAGATCTATTTCAGTTTACAATAACCGTACATCACACGCAGAGAATCATTGTTATGCTGTATTTTTCCTCGCAGGTTCGGCTCAGAAAACCTTTTGAAGGCTACAGGCGCAGTCAACATGCAATAAAAAGGCAAATCCATTTTACAATGACAGCGCGCTGTGTGTGTGTGTAAAAAAAAATAAAAATTCTGCCTCTTCGTTAAGGCGAAACGTAACTACAACCGGGACTGTTTTTCTCTCAGGCCCTCAAGGCCGCAGCCGAACCGCGACAGCTGGCGGCCCTTTCCTTAGCCTTAAGAGCTACCGACAGAGTGAATCGGCTCGGCTTGCACACACAAGGGACTACCGAGATCTCCACGAAGAAAAACAAACGAGGTCCCCGCGTCTCCTGCCCTTTCAACAAACGATCCACTCACCCCGCTGTTACGAGAAGAGATTATCTGACGCCGAATACCCCGGACTTTAGGGTTTTGGTATCACCCAAACTTACTTTTCCGTTCGGAACCGCTCTCCGGTCACAGGCGTCTCTAAAATACGTTACAGTTCTTCACTGCCTAGCCGCCATTACAAGATCCTCTCCGTAACAAAATGGCGCCGGGCAAGAATGTTCTAGAAAAAAAAGGGTTGTAAAGAACACGTATGCGCAAACATAAACCCGCCCTCTGCGTCACGAGCCAACAATCAGAGGTTCATTAAAATAAAAAACATTCCGCGCCTGCGCAAATCAGTACTGCGTGAGTAGTTTAGGGCGTGTGGGTGTGGCGTTGGAGTGGAAGGTGATGGCTGTCTATTCTTCGCTGTCAAAAGAGTACAGATTATGAAGACGCGGTCTAAAAACATATTTTTTTTCCAGGCATCAGATGATCCTGAAAACTGCATCCTTGTATATTATTTTATAGACAAGTTCCAGAAAATTCTGAGCCCGAACGAATCCTAGATCTCCGTCCTCGTGGTTCTGCTATTCCTGTTTGCATTATCCAATGTATCTTGCAGTTCATCCGAAGACTCTTCTAAGCAAAGAATTAGGGCAGAACCTTCCCAGTATGGCTCTGCGCTTAAGTTTGTCGTGAGGAAACGCTCAAATGCAAAACTGCTTTGATCGTATGTCAAGAACACAGGTGGCCAAATGCATTGCAGCGCCCTCACTACTGTTCAAGCAACCTCTTGAACAACAGATGACTGGAGTTCTGTCAGATGGAGACATCCTGAAGGGGTTAAGGGCTTTGGGGGTAGATAGAATTCAATCTGGTGCTGATTTAGAAAAAAATAAATCCCTCCTTTCATGGAAGTAACTACTGAGTTTATGGCATTCATCCAGCACTGGGAGTAAGTGCAGCAGTGGGAACCTGAGATGATTGTAGTTGTGATCCCTTCCAGGTTAAGACCATCCCATCCAATCATAGTTTGGAGCCATGCAGCAGGTTGGGCTCTTTATCCATTATCACTGAAAGCATGTTGAGATGCACACCGCATTTTTGTGGCAATGGCCCTTTTTTTCTGCAGTATACATTACTTCCAGGACATGAACATGAAGCAGCATCCATTTGTACCTCTCCCTACTTCATTGGAAGTGCTGAGATTATAGCATAGAATTACATTGTCACTCTATCTGCACTAGAGAAAGAAACATGCATCTACCTCAGTTGGACTAAATATCTGAGTCTGGCTGAATATCCAGGCCATAATTTTGTGTAACAGCTTGTATCACATTGGATACTTGTTTGCCTATCTTGCTCTGCTAGAGAACAGAAAATCAGCACCTTGAGGCATGGAAGGATATCTGGATGATACCTAAGTGCAGGTAGTCTTGAATTACAATTGAACCCCAGAATTATAGTTGTGTCTTTGTAGTTGTAAGTTGAGGCATCATGTAATCAGACCCAATTTTTGGCATCTTGTGGTTAAGCAAATCCATTTTACTCAACTGGTGGGTTTTTTTTTTTGCCAAATCATGGCCACATGACTGCAGCACACTGCAAACCGCTGTAAAGGTGAGCTGATTGCCAAGCACCTAAAATGCAATCATATAAAGGGGGGGACGACATGTTTGCAGCCATCCTAATTTCAAAATCAGGCTGTAGTAGCTTTATGCAGGACATATAATTTTGATCACTAAGCAACTGGTCATAAATTGAAGACATACCCAAGATTTGATAACTGCCCAGTGTGTTTCCTATACCTAATCTGGATTTTGCAGTAGAGTATATTGCAGATCTTCAAACATCAGTAGTTGCTCTCAGGCCCACAGCATACCTGCTTTAGTAGCAAGAAGTCATAAAGTAAATCAACTCTGGAATGAGGTTCCCATGAAACCTGGATATTCCTTGCTCTACTTCTCCCAGGCCTTTAGATGCATGAAATCCCTTTGGATTGTGCAGGGTTTTTTCATTCTTGTTTGTTTTTTGTCATTTCCTAAATTGGATTTTTTATTTTTGTTCTTGTATTTTAAAACAATGTTTTTTACTTGTGAGCCAGAGTTTTGGAAATCAGGTGGTATATGAATTTAATAAATCTGGGCCACTACAAGCCATTGTCTCAATTCAGAAGGAAACCGTGCTTCTGCCGCCTCCTGCTGATCTTCTTTTGAGCCCTGTATTGGTAAAGCAAGAAGGCTGCTTGAAGCATCCATACCACTGCCTCCCTTGTGCCACACAACAAGCTCCTCTGGGCCTAGTTGATAGCTCCACTATTGTTTTAGGAGTGGCAATGGGGCTAAAATCTCTTAATAGTCATCACTTTCTCCACCCTCCCTTAACCCATTAACCTTGGCACTTCCCTTGATTCCCCCTTTACCTGCCTTAGCTCTTCCTCGCTGGCTTTTTCAGTGGGGTTTTTGTGAAGGAGCAAAACTTCTTTAGGTCTGTGAGAGAGGCAGGAGAAACAAGCCAATTTAAGCAAAAAAAAAAAAAAGTAGTGGTAATGGAAATTCACATGTATTTAGCAAACAGCAGTGCTGTCAACAGAATACACATACAATTGGAATAATTCATCCCCTGCCCCAAAACAAGCAAGCAAGCCTTATTTGGTGGAAAGGTTTTCTTTGGAGGGAGGAAAATTTTTAAACTCAAAAGGAGCTGATTTAAGAAACAAATTGGGTGGGGAAATTCCTGTTTCTTTAACTACTGTAACCAGCATCACCTCTCTCTCCAGAGATTTCAAAAATAACTTTAAAAAGTTACAATGGAAAATTCCCAGTAACAAAAGGGAGCACTCAAAATCTTTTGACCCAGAAATATTTGAAACCAAAACAATTATGTGCATACAAAGCACCAGAAACCATTTACACAAATGGTTTTGTACATGCCTAGTCCTGATGAAAACCACAAAATTCACTGAATTACCTTCAGTAACACATTCTCCTTACCTGATTTACTACATAGGATAATTGTATAAATAAGATCCTGAACATTTTTGAAGAGTGGAATTAAAATGCAGCATTGTGTGTGTGTGTTTTTGCTATATATATACTGCCTAAATTTGTTGTTTGAGCTTTGATGTATGCCGCTATGAATCAATATGCTTCAGCAATATATAAATCCAATAAAGATGACATTTTTAGAAATACTAAGATTAAAACACAGAATTTATATAAATATTCATACATCTTTATTTTGTTCATCCAACTGGCAGTTCCTTTTCCTTGAATGAACCTTTCTTAACACAGAATTATCTTTAGCATTCTTTGTTGATCAACTCTGCAGTTTGTTGATATTGCAGATTCTTAATGGATTATTAAAAAATGCCTCTGTATGGCTTTTCCAAAAGAAACCCTCAGCTAATCTGTGGTTTTCTTGACAAAGATGAATGTTAAAAAATGGGAGACTAGTCAAACTGTCTGGATCATAGGTGAAACAGAAAAATGTTTGATTTTAAACAGTTTCAATATCAAGGTTTGGAATTTCTCTTCTGTGAAATGTTCAAACTGAAAAAAAGTTGGTCCATTGCAGCTATTGAGCAAAAGGATTAGCGTGAATTGTCACATCTTTAATACGGACATCATTCAAGGGGCGGAATGTCTTTTCATTTATGGGCAGCTTCTCCAGCTCATCAAGGGTATCCAAGCCATCGATTGCCCTGCACAGAGAAATAAAAAATAATGAGAACTACCTTGCATAGAAAGGCACATGTCTTCTCTCATCTTTGTTAAAAGCTGTCATGGGGATACATGCTCATTTACAAATAGGCTGCCATGATGCCTGTGGCCAATGATAAAAAGTCTGGAAGAGAAGGCAGAATGGTGAGATAACTTTCTATCGTTCTTTCCTACCATCTAAGAAATTCTCTACTAACTCAGCTGTTGCCTTTTTAATAGACAGTCTTCCAAGGAAAACACTGGAATATAGTCACCCATGATTTTAATTTTTCATGCAAGTGTATGTGGCACACAGGCATTATTGTAAATAATTGTACTTTAGTGGGCTTCAGTTTCTAAACCTCCAGTGAACATGGCTATTGCAGTGATTTCTGGGAGTTGCACATATATCTGGATAACACCCTAGTACGGAAAAGTTGTGCTTTGGTTTGGGCATTGCGGCATGCCAGCTTTCCATTTTTAAAAATACATTTTTTTAAAAGCTAAAGTCAGATTGCTTAACAAGTAGCAGAGGAGATATCTTAGATAAAATTTTTGTTTCCTAAATCATGCAGTTTCTACCTTATTAGATCTCTATGATATATAATCTTGTATTTTATTCAGTAGCATTGGATTACTTACTTCCCAAAGACAGTATATTTCATGTCAAGATGTGGCTGTTTGCCATAAGTGATAAAGAACTGAGATCCATTTGTATTCGGACCATTGTTTGCCATGGAAACAACTCCACGGACACTGTGCTAAAAATGAATCAGGAAATTAAAACACACGTACTCTGGTAAATATTTTTTTATTTCTAACTTTTCTGTTTTGTCTTAAGGTAGCTTGCAGAATAAAACTCTAAACAGGCAAAGGCTTGACATATCTCTGGGCTGATTTGCTAAATTCACCCTTTTCCAAACTTGAGACTCTTGAGTCTACCTAAACTAAAGCATTACCAATCCTATCTCCTAGCTGTACTCATGCCCCAAACTTAACCCTATCTCCAAATACCTCCCTTTTCCAGAGAGAATGGGAATGAAGTGACTAATGTGATGATCTTCGATAGTTAAGTTCATAGTTACCTTATGCTCAGGAAATTTTTTAAAAAAGAAAATGTACAACTTGAACAAGGAACTGCAATGATTTTTTAAAAATCACCTTTAAGTATTCACTGTATTCATCTTCAAATTTCCTGCCCCAAATACTGATTCCTCCTTTCCCAGAACCTGATGTAATCAGAAAGAGATGGGGCCAGGGAGAAGGGGAAGAAACAGATACATGGATCAAGTGGGCTCCAAAATCAAGGCACAAAGTCAACAGCACAAATATCTCCATAAATCCAGGTACCCTCCTCTCTAGCCCAAAAGTTGTATCTCCCCCAATTCCCCTCCCCCAAAAGTAATAAAATGAAGTTTTCTCACATTTTGGCTGGAGTTTCTGAAAAACACAACAGATGCTAACTCTTCTCTAGCTGCTCAAACCTCAAGCAAGCTTTAAAAGGCCTCTTAAATCCCAGAAATTTATGATTTTAAGGTGTCTCTGCATGTATTTTTTAGATCATCTGAATATCCCTATCTATACAATAGATGGTTTTTCTCCCCTTTTTAAATTCGAGTTTTAAAAAAATTACAGATGGGTCTTTGGTGCTATCTGAACCTGGGTGTTTTCTTGCAGATGTTTCATTACCCATCATCAGTCAAGCAGGAAGTGGGGTTTGTTTTGTTTATATTCTAGTGGCTCCCTCTGTTGGTGTTGGTGGGTTTGGTTCTTTGGTTGGGCTGTTACTGTTAGCTTGTTTAGCACTTCCTTGATTGGGGTATTACCTACTTATTGTTGGTCTGATGTTAATACAGATGTTATTCTCTGCTCATCTGGGTATTTAAAAAATGACTGGCAAATCAGTTTGCAAAATTTATGTAGTAAATACAATTACAAATAAAATAATTGTAAATAAAATTACAATTATCATTCTCATCTTTATAATAAAATGCTTTTCTTAACAATATAGTAGTCTTGTTTTAGGAGAATGACACAGTATATCTAACTTTCATAAAAGGAATTACCAGTTGGGTCTCCAGTCTGAACCATAAAGCCTTTGATATTTCTATGAAAAGTACAGCCATTGTAGTAGTTACTAGCACAGAGAGCCAGAAAATTCTAAGGAAAGAACCAGAAAGTCAGTTAAGAAACAAACCATGATACAAAATATTTTATACTCATTCCGAAGACTTCTGTAGACATAATAGCCATAACCAAATGCTGTGCTTAAATAGAGCTCAATGAAATCTGAATATGCCTTTCATGTTTCCTTCTCTCTTCTGCTAAACCATCACTGATTGTGTTAGTGAGAAGTCAAACAAATTAGTTCTAAAACATATTTTGACAGCTATGTCATTTAAATAAATCATAGTTAATAACAGAATGCAAGTAAAAGGTGTGAACTAAAATGGATGAAAATGCTCAATGCAGAACAGTAAAATGTCAGAAATAAGTTTATCTGGTGTTTATTTATTTTGTCAAAACTGAAGGTATAGATGTAAAAGAATTAGACAGTTAACTTTATAAATTGCAGCAGAATGCCTATTAAGAAATGAAAATGGTTAGTACCTTCTAAATCTTATTACAGAAAGCATAATAGCCAATAAATTGGGCCTAAGAATTCTGATTTTAGCCACATCAGATTAAAGAAATATAAGGTTGGGATGGGGGTAAGGAAGATCAACAAAGCATATCTACCACAGTTTGTTGTCTTATAAATTCTCTTTTACTGAATGTTTTGTTTATAAAATCTGAATTGTTCCTCAATTCAATGATATCTTTTATTTTCATGACTTACTTCACAAGCTTTTGGTGTTCGTTCACAGAATAACTCAATTTTAATATCTCCAACATCAGTGTGCAATGTGACAGCCTGGAGGAGGAATTGAACTATATTATTTTTTTGCAGCAGAACAGACAAAAAGAGCAGTCAAATGTACTACAGCAATCCAATTAAAATAATTGACTGTAAAAGGAAAGACAGTGTATATGTACCTCTCATTAATTAATTTCTAAGGGATAACAGAGTTCCAGTCCAACAAATTCTTGTTGTACCTTGTTGGAGAAAGCTAACTTAAATACCAGTTCTTAGTCTTTTTGTAGAGAATATACTGCCATCAATTTTCTGCATTTTAAATATCAGGCTCAGAATAGGTGTGTACAATAGGCTGGACCCAGTTTTAATCATGTTTAGAGTGGCAGCACTAAAATCATCCAGGCAAGTCAGTACTACAATTATAATTTTTCACCATCCTCGTCCCAGCAAGGCTAATTCGAGATCCAACACCAGAAGATATAAATCAAGCTTTATACTGATCTTCAAACAGGCCGGTGTCTGATCTTTCTCCACAAGAAATCACAAGGCATATTCATTGAGTTCGGTGTTAACAGCCCAAAGAATATGGATACTGTATTCCATATGGAGGTCTAGTCAAAAACGCCTCTGGGAAACTTTTCACCCAAGATCTGGCCAAGTCTTTCAAAACTCCCTATGTCCAAGAATGCCAAGTCGACTCTATGGTGAAATTGTATTTGCTAAATGGAAGGCTGTTCTGCGAGATCTAGATGTCCGGGTACCCCTTTATACGCGGTACGGAAGGTCTAGAAGCCGCAAACCTCACCATCTTTGCCGGTTAGCGGGTGGAAAACAAGGCGCCCGTGTCTGAAGGAGTCCCGAAAAGCAGCAGTGTTGAAACCAGCGGAGAAACAGCACATGGCAAAGAAACCCAGGTGGAGCAGAGCGGTTTCTCAGGCTAAAAAGGCTTTGGGAATTTCCTCGCTGCTCCAGCAAGACGGTTGCAGCAGAAGGGGCGATCTTTTCGCAAGGCACCCGCGACGGGGCAAAAGCGAGGAGAACTCCGACCGCCTCTCAATTCCGCATGCCAGGTTTTCGGGCCCGCGAGGAAGGCGCACAAGCCCAAACGCGCACGCGCAGCGCCTTCCCATAGTATCTTCTTGCATTCAGGCCCCGCCTACGGATGGATCCGCCGCGCTCGGCCTTTCTCCCACGAAGCGCTGGGTTCCGCCTCCGTCGGGCGGCTGAAGGGAAGGAGGTGCTTGGGTCGCTTTCATCGACCGACCGCCTGCTTGCCCAAATGCACGCGTGTAAGACGGGAGTTGAGGACGTGGTTCACACGTAGTGGTGTTTTTCCAGGACGGGGAGAATGAAGCGATTCATTTCAAAAATCTGAGGAAAGCTTGGCTGCTTGGGTAAGGAGCAGCCGCAAGTGGAGCCCCCCCCCCCCCCCCCCCCCGCATTGCAAATGTCTTGTTCTTTATTTGGGGGAGGGATCTCCTTAAAACTAGGAAAGCTTAACTGGGAGGAAATGCCCATTGATTGGAGTCGTGCAATCCTTCCAGCAACTAAAACATACGGCAGGGTTTAATATAGTAAGGAGTCGAGAAAGGTTTTTTTTCTCTCGGTGGTTGCCCGGGCAAGAGGACTGTTACTTTGTATTTTATGACGTTTCTCGTGTTTTATCTCAGGAATTCGTTCACAACCAATGTATATTGGTGATAATAGATGAATATTGAAATGGAGGGGGCACCAAGGCAGAAGAAATAACGGTGATGATCACATTTATTTTGCAACGTTTGCATTTGAGTTGATTCTCTGTTGGGCAGACAATTAAAGCAGATCTTGTCTCTAATAACCGCATGTTCACATTTCTATCGTTCTCGTGGATTTGACTGCAACTTTCCTGATACATCTTAGATGAGCAATAATTGCTGTTTTGAAAGATCTGAATACTTCTGGAGATGTGACCTTCCTGACTCCTAACTTTCATTAATCATTTTTTTTTAAAGCTTGCTCTTCGGAAATCAAACTTTACTGCTCCATTGGGGTACTAGGATTTTTCTTTCTGAATGTATGAATGATATTGCAATAATATGATTAACAGCCCTGTTTTTATCTTGGACAAGGCTAAGATGAAATTTTGTGTTTATTTTGTTGAAGATGACACATCTGGATTCATTCATAACACAAAGCCATCAGCTAGGATTTGCAAACACCATGGTTCACATGAGTTAACTTGAAGCCAAACAAATTGCATTACAGCTTTATCCAGTGGTTCCCCAGACAGTAGCATTGTCAAAACTCACTCCAGGAGTTGGTCCCTGTTTGGCTGCACAAGCCCATCAAACTTTAAAAGTCTGGTGATATGCATATGAACATTTAATTATCACAAGTAGGAAAATAGGTAGAATTATATATGCCCATCTTGAGTTATATGAAGTAAAGGTGGAATATAAACCTAATACTATTACTACTACCGTGTTTCCCCCAAAATAAGACCCTGTCTTTCATTTTTTTTAACCCTGAAATAAGCGCTTGGCTTTATTGCCATATGCTCAAAAGCCCGATTGGGCTTATTATCAGGGGATGCCTTATTTTGGGGGAAACAGGGTAATAAAATATTTCTTGTCTAACCAATTAAATCATGAGTTGTGAGGAAGTTATGCAAATTCATTTATAATTTTAGAAAGTTGCAGTGCATATGCTGTAACATAGTTACATGGAGCTACTGCTGGTTCCTTGTTATCTTCCCATTTTAAACATTTTTAAGGAAAACTGACTAGGAAACCAACCATTTTGTACAAATCAAATTCTCAACATTTTTATTTCTAGGCCTTCTATGGGTAATTGCTAGGTACCGGTAATAAGTAAGTAATTGGTTGCCTCCTGGTACTTTTTGGGGAAAGATAAGATAAGATAAGATAAGATAAGATAAGATAAGATAAGATAAGATAAGATAATTTTATTTCTATACCGCCCCTCTCCCGAAGGACTCGGGGCGGTGCACAGCCAAGTAAAAACACAATACAAACATCATAATTAAATTTTAAAATTATTAAAATTCTTACATTTGTGGCCGAAATTCGTTAAAAACCCAAACATTTAAAAACTCCAAATTTAAAACTCCATTACAAAGATAGCACTGCCTGTCGGAAGAGCAGGGTCTTGAGGGCACAGCGAAAAACTCCGAGGTCAGAGATTGTGCGTATTTACAGGGGCAGTTCGTTCCAAAGGGCTTTGCACGGCTTTTTCCCTGCAGTCCTAGCCACTGATAATCTCTTTTATTAGATTGCACTTTCTGTACCTTTTGGCAATGCTTTTGCTTTTGGATTTTCTAGAAATCTGAATGCCGCTGTCCTGTTTGAAGCTGATTACACGGCCTTTTTTGCAAGCACCATCCTTGATTGTTCAGCCTTTGCGCTTCGTCATGGATCTGAAAGACCTTGTTACTTCCTTAAACGATTTTGCTTCACTTTCCCTGGCTGAAAGTTGGGATAATGTGGGGCTCTTGGTTGAGCCAAGTCCTCCTCATATTGTCAATACCCTTTTTCTCACCAATGATTTAACTGAGGATGTGATGCAGGAAGCCCTAGAGAAGAAAGCAAACCTCATTCTTTCTTATCATCCACCCCTTTTCCACCCACTGAAACGTATAACATGGAAAACATGGAAGGAGCGTCTGGTAATCCGAGCCTTGGAAAATAGAGTTGGCATTTATTCTCCTCACACAACATATGATGCTATACCTAATGGAGTCAATGACTGGCTTGCTACAGGACTGGGTGAGGCATTGTTAGTAATGACACTATATGTAAAATAAAAATCTTATGAGCATAAGCCAAACACAAAATAGATAATAACGTTTTATGTTTTATTATTATTAACAACTTTTGGTTGTGTTGTGTTTATGTTTTTAAATGATATGTTTGTATTCTTGGCTAGCATTTTATATTATAAGTTTCTATTGAAATGTGTTAGCAGGACTATGTTAGGTAACTAAAATATTTGTGGCTGTGTAGGAAAAAAAAGCAAGTAAAATACATAATGGATATTATTTTAAACAATGACAAAACACTAGACTGAAGTATATATTCATATCCAACTATTATTTGTAGGGAGCTCCTCTCTCCCCATCTTGAAGTACCATACTATCAGCCCCACTATGTAGACCAGGCCATGAAATCAACTCTACAAAAAGGCTAAAAGAATGTTTATTGTTTTGAGCTATAATTACAGAATTGTGCTGTGTCTTGCCTCTTTCTTATACTCTAGTGAATTAGGATATGTCTGTCTCAACTACCTTCAAATGTTACCTGGACATTCTGAAATTAAAAAGTTCCTTTTACCTAGCCCTAGCCAACAGCTCCTACATATCTCTGTCAAAGCCATCTATATACATAGGGGTTTTTTGTAAAAAAATTTTTTTAATTTTTTACACAAACAAACAAACAATACATTTTTTCTGAACAGAGTATTGGCCAAGTCACAAATTTATACAATTTTTAGCTGTCTCCAGTACAATTTATGTATTTCACTTTTTCCCATAATAATCTTTCTAATTTATATTTTCTTTTCCTTATTATTTCTAATAACCAATATTATCATTCACCCTAATCTCTAATCTTAGTCAAATTTAATTTTTTCCCTTAATTTCTCCAAGTTAAAACTCTTAAATTTGAAATCCTTTTCACAACATAATATAATTTCCAGTATTTCCCTAAATTCCCTTATTCCAATCACAAATATTTTTCTTTGTCAATTTATCCAAATATTACAGTCCAATATCTTACTAAAAGTCACTTAAATATATAACATTACAATCATTCATTTCTTTTCCATTGCTTTTTCAAATATATATATAATCTCTTCTTATTAAGCAATAAACCAAATTACTTTGCACAATACATTATAATTTCTCGTGCTTTGACTGAATTCCCTAATTAAAAGTATGCCAAATATTACAATCTCATATAAATCTTACTTCAATTCATTTATAGTTCTATTTCTCAATTCCCATTATTTTTTTAATGTAAATCCAATTTTTGATTGTTTTTTCAAATATATTTTTCTATACCTCTTCAACAATATCTTAAACAATAAACCTAATTAATTTTCATAATACAATATAATTTCCAATTTTTTGGTTAAATTCCATAGTTACAATTAAAAATATTTCAAATATTCCAATCTCATATTGAACTTATTTGTATTTATAAATCTTATTTCAATTTAATCAGAATTAATTTTCATTTATATCTATAAATCTTACTTCATATTTTTTCAAATATATTTATTTTCTATACCTCTTCAAAAATATCTTAATCTCTTATTGAACAATAAGCCTAATTAATTTTCATAATACAATGTAATTTACAATATTTTGGTTAAATTCCATAGTTACAATTAAAAATATTCCAAATATTACAATCTCATGTAATGAAATTATTTGTATTTATAAATCTTATTTCAATTCATTTATAATTCAAAGTAATTATCCATTACTTTGTACATAGTTAAACATAATTAGTTTTCAGCTTAATTTCAAATGTTTTAATTAGTTTCATTCTTACAATTAAAGACATTCCAAGTATTACAATTTCAACTATTGAGTTTTTTAAAATTCATTTATATCTATAAGTCTTACTTCAATTCATTTTTAGTTCTAAGTATATACAACATATTTCTCTTTTCCCTTTCCATCAATTACTTCTTTCTCCCAATTTTTTTAATTTTCTTTTCTCCCCCCCTTTTTTTCTCCATTTTAAAATCCTGAACTCTTATATTTTGCCCTGTATTTCCAATTACTCTCCATCTCCTTTTCCTCTTTCTTATTTTCCCACTGTTAATCTCAGTGTAATCATTTAAGTTTTTTATATTTTTTCTATTCCCCTCTTTTTTCTCTCCTTATCTCTTTCCACCCTCTCTATTTTTATCATTGTTAATCCCAATGTAATTTTTAAAGTTCACCTTTATTACTAAACTTATCCCTTTTCTCCCAGTTCTCCTCTCCTTTTCATTATTGCTTCCCACATAATCATTTAATTTTTCATAATCACTATCTTTATCTTTGTCTTTATCTTCAGTATCACTTTCTTGCTTCTCATTTGTAGTTTCTTTATCCACTTGAGTATATTCTAGCATAGTTTCTGGTTCATCAGGTTTAGCTTTTCCATGCATCATTATAATCATTTCATTTAGTTCCGTTTTCAGTGATATACGCATCCTTTTAATCATTTCAATTAGTTCCTGCGCCATTTTATTATTTCTAGGTTGTTATTCCGATTTTAAGTTTTGTTTTAATCCACCTTCTTTAATTGCCAAGGTCAAAGATCTTGCAGACAAACAAATCCTCCTTAAAAGTTCCCACTGCTCTTATCACTTTAAAAGATTTTTTTTTTCAAATGTTGTAATATTCTTTTTTCGCCTGTAGATGTCTCTCTCCAATCCACAGTTCCAATCAACAGCCTAAGAAAATATCCATTTTGTTTAAAATCTACATTACCAATCTTTACCAATTTTTATCTTTTTCTTCTTAATTTTATATTTCCCCAAGTCAATTTAGGATCCAAATCCAAATTCCAAATCCAATTTTTAAAAAATCTTCTATTACAGAGCTTTAATTTTAAGTTTCCCTTTGTTATTTCTTCAACTGTAAAAAAAAAATCTTTTCAAATTCTTTCCAATTCTCTTCACACCTATTATGGGTTTTTTTCTTCTTCTAATTTTTTAATTATCTGTACAAATTTTAATCCAAAAATCAAGTTTTGTTTCGGGCTTTGCCACTTTAAACTTCCGCTTTATATTTCTTCCTTCATTTCCCCCACACCCATTAGCTGCTGTTATTTTGCTGGGGCACCTTTTAACAATTTAAACATACTACGTTTTTGCTTATGAGCTGGCAGTCACTCACCCAGCATCAGTACTCTGTTCAGATCACGGCTCCTGCTCAAAACTTGGTCCGGTTGCCCCAGCTTTATGACGGCCGCAGTGGCTGCCACCCCCGAGCCAAAGAGTTTCCTCCGACCTCTGAGGAACTTGCCTGTTCCTCTTGGTCGTCCAAGGTGCCTCTCCTTCTTCTCCATCCCTACAGGACAGATCTGGTTTGAAGAATCCTCAACAGCGGTTTGTCAGCCCGGGATTTCACAAGACTCATCAGAGCCCACTATTCCCCGTTTGTCTTGCTGTGATGCTTCCGGTCGAATTCCCTCTATATACATAGTTATTAGGACATTGAATTGCCTTACATTTCTCTCCATTAAGGAACAATGAGCTTGATTGTAGCTTTAAATAATTGCTTAAAAATTATGGTTTTGCCTTAAGAAAGCAAATTCTGTAAAGGGCTGGTGCTTAGAAATGGAAAATGTATATGATAACCATCTAATTGACACCTTTTCAAAGTACTGGTGTGATACAGCTCTTTTAATTCTAACTACTTCAATCCAAAGAGGGTACTAAGATTTCAATATTCTGTGCACAAATATGCACATATAAATGGCCAAAAGTCCAGAAACTACTATGTGAGTCTATGTAAATCATAAACATGGATGATCAAGAATTCTAAGCTAAAATGTAGCAAGCTGCTACAGGAATTAAAGATCTCTCCCCCTCCTCTGCCATTTCTTTGCAAGTATGATTTAAAAACAATTGTAGTTTAATAATTTTTCCGCTCTGCAGTAGTTTCAGGGCTATAACTAATTGCTGTAATATTTACAGCAGCCATTATAATATTATGAAGAATTAAAATATTCATGTATTATGATAATATTGGTACATTTCAATAAACCTCAACTTTCAGTAAGTTAGCAACAATATACTGCAAACAATGCTATGGAAGGCAAGTAATTTGATGGTTGGTAAGGTAAAATCTGGACAAGAGTACTGTGCAAATCATTTAGTTGGCTCTGCTTTTTCTCAGGCGCTTGCACTTCTGTTCCTCTGAAACCAGCTACAGCTTCCACTTACCCTGTAGGTGGGCCTTTCCGGGTTGAATTCAGGGTATCCTCTGCTGAAAGTCTGGAAACGGTTTTATCCCAAGTCCATGCAGTACCAGAGGTGTCACTCATCACAACTCAACCTGCCAGGTATTGCTAGAGACCACCCTAGGTTATTTTCTTCACAAGTTTCAGTGTGGAAAAAGAGCAGGTTCTTTATCTGTGGCCAGACAACATTTTTGAGACTGTATAAAAAGAAAGTAGTACATATTATTTAACTGTACTAAAAGGCTCTGTACTTTAAATCCTCCCACTTTGGGTTATACAGAAAATATGTGCTAATATATTAAACAGCTTGCAAAAATATTTTAACTTAATCCAGTAATTTTATTCTATTTCAAAAATATGAAATTAATAAGTTTTGTTTTCCATGTAATAACAGATTTTTACTTTAAGACCATACTTCAAGAAACCAGTGTTTTTTCCAAATATTAGATGTACATCTGATGAGACATGCTATTTTGTATTACATTTCAAGCCAAATAAATTCATTGAGAGCTAAGGGCTTTTTAAAGACTACTGTAACTAATATGGTGCATATTAAATTATAAGCATGAGTTTATCCTTCCATGCCATAAACAAATATTGTCTACTCTGATAGGAGTAGCCCTCTACAATTAGTCAAAAGTGCATGATTACTAAAGGCAATACATTTTTTTTTTAATTTCAAATTTATATACCGCACCTTCTCCCAAGGGACTCAGGGTGGTGTACAGCCAGATAAAAACATACAATACAAACATTAAGAACAATTGAAAGAATATATATTAATTTGGCCCCAGTTTAAAATGACAAACCAATTAAAAATTAAAAAATATGTTAAGCCATTTTGTGATCTGCTCACGTGAGAGAACTGGAGGTAACATTTATATATTATTCACTGGCAGCATATTGTAATGTTTTTTTAAAATTAATATTTCTGTTCCAAATTTCCAAGGATTGAAGGAGAAGAACAAACACGTGTCAGCCTGAACTGTTCTCGGCTAGCTTTGTTGCAAGTGGTGGCCTTGCTTTCCCAGAAGAGCCTGCTATATCAAACGACTGAAATCATATCACTAGAGAAGGTAAACCACAGATAAACAAATCAAAGTTTATTTTCACAGAGAGAGTATGCAAAGCTGCAAAAGGAATACACGAAGATATAGTGATGTAATGGAGGAAAGTTGCTTGTGTCTTAGCAAGGAAGTGAAAGAAAAAACTTAGCAAAGAGATGTTCTGTTTCCAGCAGAAATAAAAAGGATTCTTTGCAGTTACAGCTGCAGTTTCCTAGCATATTCAGGAAGTTTGAAGAAAGTACCAATAAGAGAAGAGACTGCTAAGAAACTGTGACTGTATCAATTGTATACTGTATTTTGAAAAATGGGGAACGGCCATTGCTTATTTCTCCATCCCAGCCATTCCTGAGAGAATATAAGGTACAGCCGCAAATGACCTCAACATCTAATAGACCCATCTTCCATTTTTGCATCCTCTTCCCATCTTTTCTTTAAGCATATACCGTGTTTCCCCGAAAATAAGACCCTGTCTTATATTTTTCTGAACCCTGAAATAAGTGCTTGGCCTTACTGCCATGCGCTCAAAAGCCCGATTGGGCTTATTGTCAGGGGATGTCTTATTTTGGGGGAAACAGGCTAAATAAGCTCCATGACTCAAAAAAAATTCCATTCTCCCCTCCTTATTTTACCATTTGCTTAAGCAGCATCTAGTGTGCTGAAATGCTTGTCCATTCTTTTCTGAGACTTTGGGTATTAAGGTACAAATAGTCTTCGACTTATGACCACAACTGAGCCGAAAATTTCCATTGCTAAGCAAGGCAGTTGTTAAATGAGTTTTACTTCATTTTACGACCTTTTTGCCTCAGTTAAGTGAATCAAACGGTCATTAGGCAAATCTGGCTTCCCCCATTGACTTTGTCAGATGCCAAGTTCCCAAATTTTTATCACGTGACCATGGGGATGATGCAACGGTCATAAGTGTGAAAACCAATCATAAGTCACTTTTCTCAGTGCTATTGTAACTGAATGGTCACCAAATGAATGGTTATAAATCAAGGACTATTTGTATGTCATATCTCAGATCTGGAAATAGGACAAGCATAATCATTGAGTAATTTGTGGTGCATATGGGATAGTTGTGAATCACAAGCTGACCTTGATGTTCTCAAATTTAATATTATTTAAATGTTACACTCCATCCTAAACATGTTTAGTCTTTTTCAAAAGGGGCTTGATTCCAACTCAATTTGCAAAAGATTGACAGTTATATGCAATAGTTGTTAGTGCAACTGATAGGTGCATGTCAAGGACAAATTGTGAAATATATTATGGTGCTTTAGTATATCTTTTTGCATTTAGGAAAACAGACTCGTTTAAATTTGTCTTCGTTATTATAGCAAGATAACTGCCAGAGCACCTTCATTCTAACCATTTCATTTTTTGGCTTCTTTTCAGCCTCTGCTTGCCAATACTGGAATGGGACGTTTATGCACATTGCACGAACCGGCCTCTGTTTCTCTCTTGATTGAACGATTGAAAAGTCACTTAAAATTGTCTCATATTCGTCTAGCTCTTGGAGCAGGGAAATCACTGGGTATATATTTACTTTCTCATTTTATGTTGGCAATGGACTTTTGCTACTTGCTACCTAAACCATTCATGTTCTTTATTTTGTGAGATGATGCTTATTAGGGCAAGAACAAGATGCATCTATTTTGAAGTGATTTGTTTAACTAACACATTCAGAGGAGCCACTTATAAAAACACCCAACAGCATTTCCCACTGTTTTAGGGTAAAATATTGCTTTGCTATGGAATTAAATAAAACTAATCTGGTTTAGCCAGACCAGTCATTTAAATAACTTGGGTTGTGGGAGGGGAGCATTATTTGAAAATTTAGCATGTTTAAAATGTTTGGAATTGGAAAGGTCATCTTTAGTTAGATTAAAATCTGTGTGTCCTCCTGGATTCACGGCTGTCTTTAGAAGATCACTTGACAGCCGTAACCAGGGGGGCTTTCGCACAGGTATGCCTGGTGCACCAGTTGCGCCCTTTCCTAGACTGGGATGCCCTCGCCACGGTCACTCATGCCCTTGTTACTTCTTGGCTGGATTACTGTAACGCCCTCTACATGGGGCTGCCCTGGATGCACCCAGAGGCTTCAGCTAGTCCAGAATGCGGCCGCGCGGGTTGTTACGGGAGCCTCTCGTTACTCCCGTGTAACACCTCTCCTGCACGAGCTGCACTGGCTGCCGGTGGTCCTCCGGGTTCGTTTCAAGGTGCTGGTGCTCACCTATAAAGCCCTACATGGCTTAGGCCCAGGGTACTTGCAGGACCATTTTCTGCCATCCTCCCATCGTCCTGTGCGCTCTCACAGAGCAGGCATCCTCAGGGTGCCATCAGTCAGACAATGTCGGCTGGCGGCCCCCAGGGGGAGAGCGTCCTCTGTGGGAGCACCGACCCTCTGGAACGGTTTGCCCACCGGGCTTAGGACAGCCCCCGACCTCCTCTCCTTCCGTCGTGAACTGAAGACGTGGCTTTTTCATCAAATGGACTGACCCGTTGAGGGGGGTTTTTACATTGTAATAATTTTAATTAATTTTAATTGGATTTTAATTTATATTTAATTCATATTGTTGAATTTTTATCTTGTAAGCTGCCCTGAGTCCTTCGGGAGAAGGGCGGCATATAAATTGCAATAAAATAAAATAAATAAAATAAAATAAAAACAGTAAGAGTTCCTTTTCAGAGTGTGAAAAAAAGCAATCCACATTCATCATTGTACTTCAGTCTTATTTGATCACATTGTGTTGCAACTGCACTCAAAATGCTTATTGCCTACTTTTATCTAACACTAACTCACAGAGCACTGCTCTGTCTAAATTAGAATTAACTGCTTTGATCAGCAATTCTCTTTTTAATTGAAGATGAAGGAACCTGCTTGTTTGAGTCGGTAAGGAAAACCAAAGGCTTGTGCAGAATTATAAAGGCCTAGGGAAACAACTGTTGATCCAGTCATGTATTCCAACCTGCAATTTTTAATCCATTGCCCATCCACTCATCATCATCTCAGGGAAAACAACAAACCGAAAACTAAGCACAAAACCTGCAGCACTAAACTATGCTAATTATTCTTTTTTAGAGTCCTCAGTGAAGGTGGTTGCTCTTTGTGCTGGTTCAGGAGCAAGTATTTTACAAGATACAGAAAGTGATCTCTATGTTACTGGTGAGAAATTTTTTGAAACAGCTGTCTGCTAAAACCTATTTTCTTGTAGATCAGAAATACCATTTTCTGTTAACATTGTCGAACTATTCACTAGCTAAGTATGTCTAAATAAAATATTAATATCCCCCTTTCTGCAATACCCTTTATCTAATGAAATATGAAGAACATGGTTTGCTGGAAATAACCCAAATTTATAAACTTAAGTACAGTAATGCAAATAACTTGCACAAAGAGATCTGGATCTGGAAAAATTTCCTCAAAGCTTCTTAGGTATTTAGCTGCATATCCCTGTATTTCAGATATTTTTGCATATTTAAGAATGTAAATCATTCATTTGAAGTGTTTTACCTACTTCATTACACAGGCAGGTTCTGGGGATAGTTTTACTTAAGAATCGTAAACAAATAAACCTTGCTAATGCTCCATCCCAAAAGATCTTTCTCTTTGCATTGTAGGAGAGATGTCCCACCATGAAGTACTTGGTGCTGTTTCCAGAGGGATCTCTGTGATTTTGTGTGAGCATAGTAACACTGAACGAGGCTTTCTGTTAAAACTGCAACAAATATTGGCTGTGCATTTTATGAATAAGATCAATATCATCGTTTCTAAAAGAGATAGAGACCCCCTTCAAGTCACGTAAAAGAAGCAAACTTTGAGAAAGAATGTAAGTGTATATATCCTTCAGACTTATATTGGCAAAAATATGCTTTGATTCCTAAAATGTTAACGATAATAAAATGTTAACAAAATAAATAAATGAGTGGTTGAAAAAAGCAAAATGACTGAGAAAAGTACATTTGAATGCTTGGATTTTTATTTTACATTTTGAAAGAATCAAGTTGGAGGAAAGCTTATGTACAGTTTCCAATTAGCAGTATTCTCTCACTGAATATTCTTTGTCCATATTTGGTCTGCCTCAGAGTCATTTTACTCACTCCAACACACTATCCTTGTCCTCTTTTCCTGCTCTCTGGTCAATTTTGCTGGTCCCTTGATCCTGGAAACTTCTCAGGCAAATTTGTTACCCTAATTTCTAATTGTACTGTAATGATACTCTTTTTTTATCACCAGATTTGAACCCATTTGTCATCAATTAACATCAATCAAACATTTTCCCATATCATCTATATCAATATAACAAACTTCTGAAGCCAACTTTACTTCAGGAGTGATATGGAGAAAGAGATATTCTGGAAGAGTCTAGAAAGAGTTTATTTTCAGTATTTAAAAATAGTCTCTAAGACTTTCTTTGTCTTATAGTTATATGGCATAAAAGAACCATAAAAAAGGACATAATTGCATGTTTATTTTTATTCAGACAGTTTTTAAACAATCAAGTAAGAAAAACAGGTTAAATAAGCATATTTACAGTAATTTTTATGGACAAAAACACAGCTGTTGTCATATTTAAAATGGCTTATATGGGGGAATCTTTTGTTCCCAATTAAGGCTAAATTCTTAATAAAACAATGATATCCACATCTCTGGTATCAATGGTTTATTTTGCTCCAGTCTAACCAGTTTCCTAACCCAATCCTTCCATCTCACATGACACACATTTGAAGATCAATAATGGTCTGCCTATGATGTATTAAAAATATACCAGTCAATAGCTGAATTCAGCTATTAATAGCCAATCGTGTGTATTATCAAACACAAGTTCTCCAGTTCAATCCTTATTTCCGGAAGATTTATGAACAGAAGGCACAGTAATATCAGTGGATGACATTTTCTTGGTCTACAATAATATAGACTGGCAAAGGGAGAAACCTGAGCAGCTAAAAATTGGCTTGCTTATACAGCATCACATTCCATTATTACAGGCAGATTAGACTCCCGAGATCTGCAAAATGGCCACACCTTAGGATAAAATTCAAAACGAGTTTGAATGTGTGAGCCTTCAAACATCATTATCTTTTTGCAAAAAGTCAGCCAATATTCCAGCATCCACAGGAATTAATAAATATTCCACTCCATCAGCACCCTGAAAATAAATTTGAGAATTAGCTTCGAAATATAAAAATGATTTTTTTTTTTACTTATTCCCTCTACTACAGGGGTCCCCAACCTGTGGACTGTGGCCCACTACTGGGCCATGGCCTCTTGGCCACCAGGCCACTTGAATGGTTGGCCAGTGTTCGCATGTGCACCCTCCACTCGCACCAGCGTTGTGGTGTTGCGCGGGTGCTAGCAATGCTGCGAGTGCACCCCCATTTGCACTGACATCGTGCGGGTGCTAGCAATGCTGCAAGTGTTGTGCGGGTGCTAGCTTCACCATGAACACAAATCCCCCACTCACATTAGCGTTGCAGCAGCTTGTGGGCACTAGTGTCATGAGCATTGTGGCAGCGCTTGTGACCCCATTCATTGCGCACATACATAGATAAAGGCGCCTGCCCCTCCCACTGGGCCGCCAGCCCAGAAAGGTTGGGGAACTCTGCTCTAGTACAAAATTCAATATTTTGTGAGGAGTACAGTAAACGTATCCTTGTGTCTTAGTCTGTATAACTGAGTAAGAACATTATTTGGCTTCTATCAATACCCTGATTGCAAAAAATATGGCATTTTATCTTCATTACGAACACCTAACATGTGATGTTCTCCTGGCATTTATCAATGTAACCATAATAATTCAACCTGGATTCTTTCTCAAAACATGGTTAAATAAGATGTAAGTTCACAATTGACACAAAGATTCTCCTCACTTACCCTCTTAGTCCGAATGAGCTTGTGATCCCTGAATTCTGTGAGCTGAGCTCTAAGAGTTAGGTCACTATTGACCAAGAAGGCCTCCCGACAGCGCTGATACAAATCTTGGAAAGAAAGACCTAGTAAAAGAGAAGCAAAAGAAGTTTAATATCAGGCATAAAAAATAAATTTTTGTTCAAATGGATAACTCTCATTTCAACACCAAGAAACATCATGTAATCTGTAGAATTTGATTGCTAGTGCTGAAGGTATTTTTCTTCCCTAAAACTTTCAATAAGAAATGCACTTATTAATTATTGTACATAACATTAGTTTAAAACTACAGTAGAAAAATACCAAAGACAAAGTAAGCCACCAATGTTCAAGCTCAGAGTATATTCAGTGCATATCTCAACACAGTTCTGATCAAATCTAGGACAACTTGCCACAGCCAACTCACCATAGGACAATTTGCCATGGGACAATTCAACATTGTATTAATTGTTTCATGCACTTTTATTATTGGTGACTGCGTTTTCATTGAAATTATTTTAACTCCTGTATTTCTGGATTGGCTTTGTTTTATTGTTATTGGCCATAGTTCCATTGAAATTAATTTAAGTGTTATATTTGTTGAATTGTCTGTGGCGAGTTGGCCGTGAAGAGTTGTCCCATTCTGTTCTTATCTGTCTGCATATATGTCAATTTGCATATGTTCATTCTTTTTTATATTCTGATTTTATCATCAAATCAAACAAAGAAAGATTTGTAAAGTCAGTAATTTACAAACAAGAATTGCAAAGCCAATTTACTCTATATTGTGATTTGGATATAATGGAAATTATTGCTCAGTCAGAAGTATGAAAAATATTGTAAACTACATCATAACTTGAGGCTATGTCTGCACTAATCCAGTGGCTGGTGCCCACATTATTCTAAGCTATAATATAGTTTGTTCTTGGCTTAACTCAACATAAGAACATATTCATGGTTTAAGAATTATCTATAACTTGAACCTTATGAATGTTCAACAGCATTTAGATTTTGCATGAGTTCTGCCATTATTTGATACTCATTTTCATAGATATATCGATAATTGACCAAAAGGTTATAATAAAGTAATTTATTATTTTCTCACACAAAAACAGTATACATCAGAATCTATCAATGAGAAACAGCACTGGAATTTTCCTACATTTGTACACTAATTAATATATGGTCAAAGGCTTAGATGACCATAGAAATCAAGAGAGCATGACTTGGCTGTTTGGTGAATTGAAGAAATGGAACATAATGAAAGGAGGAAAACTATATTCCAACTACTTCCCAAACAACTATTTGAGTAAGCTAATGTGAGCAAAATTCAAAAGGGAACTCTGCATAGTGAGTCGTCTTCACCATTTAAATTGTGTTCCTTGTGAGGATGTGCTCAGAAAAACCTTACAACCTAAAAAAAAATGAGATCCATTAGCCCAAGCCCAGAATTGGTTCTGATTACAAAGCCTCAGACTGCTCTTAAATATTTTCCATTATATATCCTAGCCTACTAATTTCTTTTAGTTTAAAGCTATACCATATTCCAACTAGAAAAAAAAAACATTAAGTCTCAGCCCGTTTGTTAACAGATAATGTTCAGTGTCAAAATTCTCCACCAAACTCTTGTCTTGACAACACTGCTCTTGTTTGAACTCCAGGAAACAAATTACAAATGTTGCATGTTTACCTAAATAGGAAGGATTATCCATATTCTCCAATTGGTACTCTACTAAGAGCCTAAAGATACCCCTGGAAAGAGAGACAACCATGTTAATATAGTTAAATACAGCAAGAACCATACATCCACATTCACTCCTTGTTTAGCGATTAACCACAATTAGAAAACATTTGCAAATATGACAGTAATTTAAAAATTCATTTTTGAACCAATATGCACGTTTACAACCAGATTTCATACACCTGACAAACAGAGACCAGAGTGAAATTAACAATGGCAGAGCTATATAAGAAAAAAAAATTCTGAATGACACAGCAACCATTGTGATCTTCACAGTGTCAAAGTTGTGTGTTCATGTAGCGACCATTTCACTTAACAACCTAGTCAGTGGAATAGAATTCAATCAGAAAACTAGGAATGAGTACTTATCACTGAGGAAAAATCTCCTAGGAAAAATCCATACTCCTCATACCATTTATATATTCTTACTTTTATATTTTCTTTAGTGGTTCCACTAAACATTGGAGTAACTCTTGCTATTCCATGCATCAATGTAGCTGCCATTTTTTATCAGCTGGTTTTACTCTCCCCAAAGAAAAAAAACCCCTATTTATCTAAACCCTATCTGTCTATTTTAAAATACCTCATTTATTAAAAGAAGCAGAAAAATGCAATAAAGCAAAATCAAAGATTTGCATTCTATCTCAGCTATTTTATGAAACATATTACAACACATTGCTTCACAGGAACTCAAGAGCATCACACATCCTTCAACTTGTTGAGTGGGGCAGTTAGTAGCCACAGTTCAGCACATTTGGAGAGCTACAAGTTCCCTATCCTGCACTGGGAAAACACCATTAAGTTTTTTTTCCATCCCCACCTGCAATGTATAAAAGAATTATATTTTTAGTATTAGTCTTACATACTAGGAGGTTTTTTTCTGGTCATAGGGAAGAATCTCTCCTGTTTCTCACAGACTTATCTCTTACCTTGCATTAGAAGTAAGACTGCAGAGAACATGTGTGAGGGAGCTCAATGCCAAAGATCCCGAATGCTGTACCAAGAGCGAGTTCTCATAGGCTGTTTCTTCTGCATAAGGGCTGAAGGTGGTCGTTTCATACCACAACCAATTATACATGCTTCGTTTTGCTTGATCCCACACTATGAATGCAGAAGACAAATATCAAAAAGAAAGAAAATATGAATGCCCTAAAAATAGAGAATACATACCATAAAACTTTGAGCACTGTAAATGTGGAAATGGCTTTCCATAACATCTTTTATGATATGCCAGCATAAAAATGCCACAGTAATTCCAAGCTGTTACATGAATTAAGTTCTTTTTATGACAAATTATTGTTTGAATAAGGTCTGATA